TAATCCATTCACTGCCCTTGCTGCCTTAGCTTCAAAGAGACGTTCGCTTCAACATCCAATTCTCTCCATTGTTGACCTCAAAGCTTCCAATTATATCCATTGATCAACAAATCAAGCTCCTTTGTATATCCTTCGAGTTCGCTCCATCCGATTTCAAGTTCTCTCGAAGAAACCCCTAAATTTTACGTATCTAGATCTGCAACCAACAAAAATAGTTCAAAATATTCACTTAATTTGATTCGAATTTCATCACAATAAATAATTTCTAGATCTCCGGTCAATGGTGAAGGAATTTAACGTCCCATCAATGAATTTTTCTGTCCGGCGAAACTCCAGATCCACGGCAACATCTGCTTCCAACGGCGTCGTTTCAACCACCGAAGTCGTAGAATCCTAAGATACCTTTCATGTCCTTCGATGTAGGATCTGTTGTTGCTTTCACTCTGCAATTCACGTCCACCACCATCGGTGGCGGTGGCTCACCGAATTTTGAAGGCGAGCTATCGTTGCTGGAGGAGCTTGGGATTAACACAAAATAAATCTACCAAAAGATGTAATCGATTGCGAATTTGCTCACGTAAAGGCATATTTCATCTTCTTTATGGCATACTGTCGGGTTGTTCATCTTCTTCATGGCATAAACGCCGGAAAGCTTAATTTTGAAGGGATGGATAATTGGGATTAAAAAAATTTATTTTAGGGTAAAAATAAAATAAAATAGGATAAATGTTTGAGATGATGCCAAGTGTAGTTCCGTTTGGTGTAGTGGCATATATGGCCAAAAAGTATGACGATAAGGGTATATACAACCGTAAAGTATAATGAAGGGTATAAACATATTATTTTTAAAAGTTCGGAAGGTATATTTGTCGTTTTTCCCTTTAAACTATTTCAGATAGTACAAGGATATATTTGACCTTTTTCCGAAGATAAATGATTCTAACCCACTTTAATTCCTTAAAACCAAAAAATTTAGAACCTTCAAATGAGTTCATTGAAATCAACTTTAACAATAAAAAAAATATTATCCATTTTTTTCACGTTTAGTTGCCTTAAATATTTTGAAAAATAATTTTCAAATGGACTTATTTTATTCTAATTTAAGGAAAATGGCTTATCTATATGAAGTAAGAAAAAAGATTTTCAAAAGCTCTCTTTCAACTCTACCACCCCTTATACCACCACTTACTCCAGCTAGACTCTGATCTGGGATCCGATCCCAACATCGACCTTGATGCCAACCCAAGACTCGACATCAGGATCTAACCCCGACCAAAGACCTGACCTCGTCTTGAGTTTCAGCTCCCGATCTGGACTCGATACCCGACCTCGATCCAAGATCTAACCCCAACCTCTAAATCAAACCTCGACCTGGGACCCCAAATCGAACCCATAACCCGACCCCAACTCTCGATATGAACCCCACTGTGACCTCAACCTATGATTTGCCTTAACATAACACTTCGAATGTTTGAATTATGTTGAACTAATCAAATGCATATGATTTTGATCCAAATTATGTTTAATCGAGTTTTGAGATTAGAAATCTATCTCAAAATGATGAGAAATCAAATTTGAGGTTCACCGCATCAATCGTTTGTTAATCGGAGTTCTGTGTAAAAAGTTATGAGTGTTTTGTGAAATTAACGTGCAAAAGTAAAAAACTTGCTCAAAATTTTTATTTCACTACATTTTTTAGCCTACTTCTTAGAAAGGAAGCACCAAAAGTCCTCTCTCAAACACCTAAGGTGAGTTCCTATTCTAATATTTCGATTTAAACATTGATTTTATCGTGGATTAACACACAAATGATTATACTAATTCGTAGATCTTGAGAGTTAGATTACTTGGAATTCTTAAGCTTTTAATTTATCTATTTCATAATTAATAGGGGTAAAATGGTAAACTCATTATCTCAATTTTTTTTTTTTTAATATGTGTATCAATTTAAAAGTAAACAAGTAATTAGGGGCAGATGACGTATTAGTTAACCTCTTGAAAAAACTCTACATCTTCAAAATTATTTAGACTTCCAAAGACCATATTAATTGTAGCGGTAAATAGGAAAATAATAGTTAATTTTATCCTAGACTTCCAAAGACCATATTAATTGTAGCGGTAAATAGGAAAATAATAGTTAATTTTATCCTAAATTAATAAGTGACTAAGTAATATAAGACAAAAAAATTTAGTAAAATATCCATATAATATAGGACGGTGGAAATATGTCGCAAAATTAAAATTTAATAATTGTTTTTTAAAAAAAAAGAAGAAGAAAAAAGAAGAGGGTAGAATCTTAGCATTAGAAAATAGTCAAAAGTGTCGGTTGTAATTTCAATGAGAGATGAAGGTGGGAGTCACATGGCCAGCCAAGTATTTGTTGTGAAAACGCTGCTCAATTATACATATATTAATAAATAGGGAATTAACACCTACACATTATCCCTCTATGATAAGAAAACATGTCAACCAACACTTTGCCCCAAGACATCTTGTTTGGCTTCATGTTTTTTCGACACACATTCGAAATCGGGAAAATTGTATAAAATAGCAAATATTTAAATGATATTAAGTATTATAGCTATTATTTAGAAAAATTGTAATTCGCAATTATAGTTTTCTTCCAAATCTTGCTATTAGTTTAATATGTATAATTTGGTTCCTAATTATATAAATTTAAAATTTGTATATGCTTACCCTAACTATTTGTATACGATTTATGAAAAAAATCACAATAAATTTCAATGTTTATATATAGGCAAGCGAAATATACAAACGAAGTTCTGAAAAATTCCTAAATGTATAAATACAGAATTTGTATATTCGCAAGCGAAATATACAAACTATAGCTTCCTTAGTAAATGAAACTACAATTATGAAGCGCAATTATCGAAACTATAATTATAATATAAAACTATATTATGTCTATTATGTTTGTTATTTCTGAAATTTTCTCATCGATATTTCCTCCATCTATTTTTACTTGTTTAATATATTAAAATAATTATTTATTTTATTTATTTAGTTTATTTTTTTTAGAGATAATTTATTATTTTGTGTCTATTTTATTCTTTATATTTGATACTATTTATTTTTCAATATTTAGATGACTTATAATTAATAAGGGTGATATATAGTGAAATTATTCATTTTTTTTTTCTTAAGTGTGTGTCAAGTCAAATATGAATGAGCAAAGATGGAAAGAAAGAGTATAAAATATTACTTTCTCCATTTTAATTTGAAATATTACTCTTTTAAAATAGATTTGATTGATGGATTGTTTCAAGTATATTATCAAATAGCAGTATTAAGAGTCCGTTTGGATTGACTTAAAAAAGTAGTTTTTAAGTCAAAAATAAAAAGTCAAATTGAAATGATTTTTAAGTCAAAAAATAAAAAATAGGGGGAAATCTACTTTTGATTTTTGACTTATTTTAAGTCATGTTTGATCTTGCCAAACACTTCCTAACTTATTTTAAGTAATTTTTTATATATTTGTCAAATACTTTCAGAAGTTAAAAACTGACTTAAAAATAGGTTTGACCAACTTTTAGGCCAATCCAAACACCCTCTAAATATGTACTCTCTTTGTTCTAATTTGAGATATTATTCTTTTAAAACAAATTTAATTTGATTGAGTTTTAAGGTAAATTATCAAATAACAATACTAAGATTTATCAAAATACTTTTAATTTTGTAATCTTAAACATGTCATTGTGAAAGTTGAAATTTAAAAATTGCTAAAAGAGAAAAAGAGTTATTCTTTTTTAAAAAGATTAAAAAAGAAACAAAGTCAAACAAATTAAAACGAACGAATACTTAACTTGTTATATACATAAATACTCTCTCCGTTTTTACTTATATGTCGTCCTTATTAAAAATAGATGTTTTCTAATACTCTACTTGTCATTTCACAAAATCAATACATAAATGACATTATTTCTCCTAATTTACTCCTAAGAGTTACTTATTAGTCTTGAAAGTATGAATTTGACCAATATAAAAAAACAAACTACATAATTAATTCATATTCATTAGTCAATTTAATTAATCAATATGTTTATTTAGTGAAAATTTAACTTTAAGATAACACTAAATAAGAATACAGTACTCCATTCGTTCCTATTTATATGACACCATTTTTTATTTCAAGTGTATTAAGAAATTAAGCAAGTTTACTATACTACCCTTATTTATTTATTTATTTTTATAGTCAATTTTCAATTAATGAATATGAATTAATTTATTTTGATTAATTAATTTGATCAATGAACATAATTATTCACTTAGTTTTTCTATGTTGGTCAAATGTATATATTTTCAAGGCTAATAACTCACAAAGGTAAAAAAGGAACAATATGGTAATTTATCATTGATTTTATGAAATGACAAGTATTATGAACCAACTATTTATAGAAATGGATGACATATAAAATGAGACAGAGGAAGTATTATGAACCAACTATTTATAGTAAGAATGACATATAAAAAAAATAGAGAGAGTAATAAATTTACTTAATTTCTTAAGAAATGTGAAATTTAAAATAATTGACAACTAGACAGAAATGGATGGAGTATTATTTATAAAAAAAAGTGTAGGCTAAGAAGTTGGAGAGTGAGACGCAACATTTTGTTTTTATTACCATTTGAAAAAGAAATTTGCATCTCCTGACTATCCAACTCTATGAAATGACCGACAAGGATTGTAATGGAGTGATAAGTACTCCTTCATTCTTAATTAAGAGGTCTCGGGTTTGAGTCCCCTTGAATACGGAATTGCCTTTGTTAGGGAGCGCTTTATCCCTTAATGTGGAACTTCTCGGAGCGAGTCCAGATTTAGTCGGGCTCCAATGTGAATATTGGATACCTAAGTGGAAAAAAAAAAACTCTATGAAATTAAATGTAGTCTCATTTGGCTCTATTAATTTAAAGAGGATTTTAAATGGTATAGTCATCCACCAAATATCAATTATTTTCAAAATGAAATTTATACCCAAACAAAACAAAAAAAACTTCAAATACATTATTTTAAACTTTAAAAAAAAAAAAAAAACACTGTTTTTATCAATACAAACCTAATTAAATATAGTCCAAACACCAAATCATCCTCTTATTTAACTTAATAATTCTCTCTTCATCACAACGAGGAAGATACAACATCAACATACTTAATGAAGTCCTAATAAATGAGTCTGGAGGAGGATAAAATACGCAGATTTTATCACTGTCTTAGATCACGGCAAGAAAATAATCCAATTAAACGACACAGTTGAATTTGGCCAACATATCTCTAACAAGAACTTCAGTAATACGACGATGAGCTTCATCTGTTAAATGAATTCCATCCCAATGAACATACTGTGCCGGATTCGCACAAGCATTAATCCCAGCTGCTCCACACACAGTCCTGAAGTTAAAATTATGGCTCCCTCCAGTTCCACAACACGCACTCAGCAATGTATTTTGATTAAACCCAAACGAAGACGGGTTACGAATAAGTGACAAAATTGCACCATAAAAATCACCATAAACAATATTAACATTTGGGAATTCACGTTGTAGATTCGCTATAGCCCTAACCATGTATCTATTATGATACGAAGCGAAATCATTGAAGTTCCTCAAGCATCCTAATTGATCGTAACCACTCGTATTGTTATCAGGGAAGGATGTGAGGTATAATGGGAGGCATCCGAGAGGGTAAATGCTCGGAACCAACACTCGTGTTGCTCCGAGCTGAATCACCTCTTTGATGCCTCTCATAATCCCTGCAACAACAAACGGAACGTAAGTTCTAACTTCTGTGATTTGCTTTCTCTGGAAGAAACAATTGTAGTAATCGTTTCCTCCCCATTCCCCCATTATTACTATCGAGTTTTTCAAATTCTCTGCACATCTCGAACCACAAGTCGATTGGAGATGCGTTTTGAACCAATTTAATTGATTCGAAAGCGGAGTGTTCCATGTGGGTAACCGGATGTTACGAGCAGTCCAGAAGGATGTATCGAGGGCGGTAGCTCCGGCGACGGCGAAATTTACTCCTTGAGTGAAAGATGCGCCTCTGTCTAAATAAGCATTGAGGAATGAAAGTTTGAATGACTGAGAAATGAAATCGGTGATAACGCGGCCGTTGGAGAAGCGGCCGGTGGGTCTTCTGAAGAAAGTTTCGCCGTAAGGGGAACGGTCGGCGCGGAAGATGATGGAAGCGCCGGGAGTACGGATGACATTTCCGGCGTCGGCGAGGGAGTCGCCGAGTTGGTAGACGGAGTTAACGTTGCATTTAGTTTGGGCAGATGAAGGAGAAAAGAAGAATAATGTGATGAGTAAAAGGGATAAGGAAAATTGGGTAAGAGAGAGAGTCGCCATTGAAGAATGTTTTTTGCTGCAAAATGGAATCCATTCACGTGCTACTTATAGAATGATAGACCCCAATCTGTTTGATAATGTGATATGAAACTATGATATAAAATTATATCTAAATATCAAATTTTTGTTTGGATATGCGATATTGATTTGTAAGTTGTATTTTTATACTTATAAATATAAATTTTTCATAAATTATAAAAATTATCATAATTATCTTAATTTTCTTTATGTAGTCTTATCGAATAAGCAAAAGTTCATACAATATAATACACTATAGTAAAAAAAAATTAAAATAAATATATGATATTTATTGATCGAATTTTAGCTCAATAAAAAAGTAATTTGAAAATGAGTTGTAGTATGCTACTCTTTAATAAAATTGAACATGGTCAATAATTTAGGGATATGTGTTGGTCGTTTCGGTTTGAATTTTATAAGTTTTACTTATTGATTATCGATTTGTAGACATGCTAAATCATTAAAATATTGACTTATCGACTATTGATTTATCGGTTATTAATTGTTATTGGGTTTACAGTTAAGATTTGACACCAAAAAAATAATGAAAAACACTTAGAAACAAGGTGATAAAACAAATGAACCACGCAAATAAGTTCACATATTGCATCTTTTCTCAAAAGCAAACACTTTTATATTGTAGAATAACCAAAAGTTTAAAATTACCAAAAATAAAGTATAAAACTAACTCTAAGTGAAGGATTTTATATACAAAATGATATATATATATATAATTATTTAATTTATTATCGAGTTATCGGTTAAACCGTTAAGAAAAAAACATAAACCGTTAAGAATGAATAACTCGATAACAAAAATAACTAAAACCATTATAAAAACCCCTAAACCAATAACTCATTAAAGATAAACCAATAACTATTTTTCGATTTAGGTTATCAATATCAATTCGATTTTAACAGCCTTAATTAATATCATTAGTAATTATATCATCGTATTCATATTCTGTGAATTTTTCATCGCCCCTTTGAATCAAAGGCAAATATGTAAAAACAAAATTCAACAACTTTTTTAATTTTTTAAATAAGTCAATTATTTTGAACTATAAAAACAATGTCAATAATTTCGTAGTGTGTCAGCTGTTGAGTGGCTGGTTGTCACTTTAATTTGTTTTTTTTTCTTCATTTATGGTTTTAGTTTTATTTAATGACAAAAATGATTAAACCTTTTGGCTTTTTGACTGGTAATTCATTCATCAAGTGGCTTCAAAAATAGAATCTAGTAGTATTATTTTTACGTGAAGGAGTACATGTGGGTCAAATCACACTTTATTTTCTGTCTCAAATTTGATATATGGGGATTTTTAGTCTATTTTAAAAAGAATGATTTATTTATTTTTTTGGTGATATTTTAATTTTAGTTTTCCACGTAATATATTTAAAATTATAAGATTAAAAATATATTTTTAGTATATTTAGCATAACTTTAGCTTAGGAATATAAAATTGAAAAATCTTTTTTAATTTTTTAAACTTTATGTTAAGTCAAATTAGACCATTTTTAAAAAAAGGAGAAAATAGTATTGTTTTATAAAAGAATTAACTGAATTTGTACGCTGTCGTTTTAGAAACTACTCCTACATGAAAAACTACTAAACATACTTATTAAAAATAAAATTAGAAGTTATATTTCCTTTGATTTTAAAAGAATGATCTATTTTTTTTTTATAAGAATCAAAGGGTCAACCGGAAGAAATAAGAAAATATATGTGAAATTATTAAAATCTAATCAAATTTATTCGCAACAAAGGACTTTATAACTTTACCTTTCAATTGAATCCAATCAAATAATAATAATTCGAACTCAATAAAAAACGAAAAAACCTAATTGAATCTACCCAAAGGATAGCTCGATGGTTGATTAAGCTAGAAGAAGTTAACACAAACAGTACTGGGAATCCACCCTAACCATACAACTACAATTACCAACTATGAACTACACTAATGCTAGGCTTGATCTAGAAACTACAAGTTTCAAAGCTTTCTAATATTCAATTCATCATAATCTTCGTAATCTAAGTTTTTCAAAATAATAAAAATTATTATTTATATTAAGAAAATTAAGAATACTTCTTTGACAATTTTATTCTTAATGAGATAAGGACCTTATTTGGTTGTCTTCTTTTTGTAAATTCTTGAATTTATGAGAGCGTCATTTGCATACATGGTCACTTTCTTCACTTTGATGGATCTTCAACACATTATATGTCTTTATTTGATATCCAACAAATTCCTCTAAAATTTTCATATGATTTATGCTATTCATGTCGTTATCATTTTTTAATCTGTTTAAAAAAAGATATTTTCTTGCAACACTTTGAAAGACATTTTGATACATGTGACACAACTTTAATTTAAAATCATAAAATTTAAAAAAAATCTTTACTTTTTAAAAATTTGTATCAAATTAAACTAAATCATTTTCTTCTAAGTAAAAGTAAATAATTTTATGTGACCAAGAAAAAACCACTTGCACTTGTCTCTAGGAGACTTTTGTTTCCTAACGGGTGTCATTTTGTCCCATCTGGGCAAATTGCTAAAATGAAGCCCAACACAACCTTCATCAACTCTATTATTAAAACGCCTAAAATAGAAAGTGAACAACTAAAAAAGAAATAAATTACGTATATTTCAAGGCTAATACGTCTTAAATGTTTACTTTTTTTTATTACTAATTACCTATCCACTTTTCTTTTTATAGTTGTCCCTAATTACTTATTCATTTTGACAAATCAAGAAAAAATAATTTTTTTTAACTATTATACCCTCAATTAAATGACTAATTACTTTGAAAAATGTAAAACTTTTCATCCACTTCATAATTAATAAGGGTAAAATGGTAAACTCATTATGTCATTAATTGTTTTCTTAATAGGTGTGACAATTTAAAAATGGACAACTAATTAGAGACATAGGGAGTATTAAATTTGTAAAAATATCTCATTAGAGTTATTTTGATTTTCTTTAGATAATATAATTATCAAACTATGCACATTTTTTCAATAAGGTGATGAGAAGTAACGAAAAAAATTAAATTTTATCGGAGGCTTATACATGTATATTTTTAGAATCCATTTTTAGATCCAATATTTCAAATAGATTTTTAATAAAATAAATTATATTCATATAATTAGAGCAAAATGAAGATGCAATCTTTCGTTAAAATGCTTATAAATGTATCACTTATTTTTAACAGAGCCTTAAATAGTTATCTTTTTAATTTGCCTTTTTGTTTAAAATTCAATCTAATAATAGGCAATAATGCATTTCCGATGTTTTCTTTAAGCTGATCTTTATTTTCATTTAAGAGGAATTTCTTAAATAGCAAATCTTTCTAATTGCAAACTTGAGATTAATGTTTATGCAACATAATAGGAGAAGATGATAGTGATTTTTCATGAAAAAGAATTGAATTTGAAGTGAGTCAAATTAATTTTTTATAATGGGTTAATATTAGATAAAAATGGTTCTGAAAAAGAAAAATGTATAAATTTCGGTTAAATTTTTTTGTTTTTATCATCACTTTACACCTTATTGGAAATAATGTGCATAATATGATAATTATATTATTTAAAAATTATTTTAGAAATATATATTTACAAGTTGGATAACCATTCCAGGAATCCACTTTATTTTTTACTTAAAAAAATGCAGGTGTCGGTGAACATATTTCCTTTTTCGAAAGTAAAACCGTTTGAGTTTGACTGATAATTTGCACATGAAATTTTCATTTTTTAAAAAATAAAATATATATATTTGTAAATTACGTAAAAAGTAATATGACTCACAATAATTGACAATCCAATATATTTAAAAGATATATAAAAAAATTATAATAAAAAATAAGTTTATTTGAATCTCAAAATAAAAAAATATGTCATATAAATTACTAGAACGGAAGAAGTATATTATTATTATTTTTTAGTAAAAAGGAACTGTTTGCCAACAAAGATTGTGCTTTAATGATAAAATGCACACATTTCAGCATAAGCACGTTGCTTGAGAAAGAGAGCCTTTCTTACCTACCACCTTTTGGTTGGAGTCAAGATAGGTAGGTGGAAAAGTTTTGAATTTGAATTCAATATTTGCAAAATAATGCTTATTTGCATCCGTCTTATATTAGTTGATTATTTTTATTTTTATATATGTATTAAAAAATTATAAATAAGAAGGTAATTTTTCTAACTGTTTCATTCCTTAAAATTTTGTTTTGGAATTTTACAAATAAATGTGAACACTTTTAAAACGAATTAATTGAAAGAGTAATATAGGAAGAATTAATATTTTTTTGACTTAATAAGGTAAACAACTAATATAGGACAATTATTTTTAGAAAGATGATCAACTAATATTTTAGTTGTCATAGTTTCCTTTATTATAACAATAACAACTTTGACCAACATTTTATGATGTATTTTTCATCATATAGAATGCAGAAAATTGTAATTTATAGTATTTTTCGTATTTTGAATATCTAAATTTTTTAATTCAAAATATTGAATTAATGTAATCTAATTTAACTTTGAAAATTAGTCAAATTGACTTTCGAAATGCGCCACATGACAACTAAAAAAGAACGGAGGGAGTAGTATATTTTTATTGGATCATAAAATGATTTCTTTTGGAAAAAAATAGGGTCTGGAAAGCATCTTTATATACGATACTACTACCTCTGTTTCATATTAGATGAGTAGCTTACTAAAAGTATTTGTCCCATATTACTTGATCACTTATTAAATTAGGATTGAATTAATTAAATATTTTTCATTTTACCTGTCACACCGGAGCCTACACCTTGAAGGTGGCCGACACTCAAAACCATTGGTGGTTCCCAAGTGAACCTTTGGTCTGACAGACTACTGAGCGAAACACTATACATACATAAAGAAGTCCTATAAATTAAAATAGACATTTAAAATCAATTAAAGATATCTCATACAAAAGTCAGAAATAAATCTGAATATAAATAATGTTAAGAAG